GTCCCTGTAACATTGCATACTTGAAAAGGAATAGGGTCGTGAGTTTGTAGGTATGTATTATTGGCTCTTGTGAGCCATATTTGCTTACAATATCCTGAGCTATACTTTGCTTCTACTTTCCTTCATCATGTCAGCAATAGTGCATAATCACCTAGAAGCTCTTATTCAATAATAGCCAACAACAAGGGGAGTAGATCGGTGTGGCAGATAGCAGCCTCATGCAGTATTTGTTAGAAATACAATCCAGATAATTGAATGACTCGAGTACAGAAGTTCATCATGCTAAATACTGCTTGGTTCACATAGCCTGGAGCAAGAGCAAGAGTTTTACTGAAAATCAGCGACTTGCGGATTTTTTTTTTCTTATGTCCCTATAAATCTACCTGATCACCCGAAACTATGAACACTTAGAAGATTTTCATTTCATACACTGGATGGGAGAACAGTTTATTGGGGGTGGGAGGGAAGAGGGGGAATAATGCTCTAATTTTCATTCATGTACCTTAAAGAACTAACCCTAAATTCAAAATACATGTAAGACATCTTTGAATATTCTAGCTCTAAAACTATTATGATTATTCTCATTATAACCCATTATTTGTAACTTCTTTTTTTCTCTTTTTCTGACCAAGACCTTTGGTTGAAAGATAGAATCAATTTATCTTAAATAGCAAAAGGTGACTGCCTGAGGTAGTTAAATTTGCTTGTTATGAAAAAGGTAGCAAAGGAACAATTATTTGATTGATTAATGTTGTATTTTGTGGTTAGGATTAGGGAGAAGTTGTTAGGGTTAGGATTTGGGATTTTTTTTTTCTCACACGCCAAAATAATTTGGAAAGATGAAAGCCCTTTGCCATTTCCATTTTTACCTAAAGCTTTTAAAATGCTCTTAAATGCTCAAAAGGAGCCTGAGTGGCGCAGCAGACTAATGCTACTGTTAAAGGTAGTATTTAGCTTCCAGCTGCCTGCAATTACTGTGAGTTCAATTCTCACCAGGCTCAAGGTTGACTCAGCCTTCCATCCTTTCTAAGATAGGTAAAATGAGGACCTGGTTATGGGGGCAATAAGCTGACTCTGTATAAAATATACAAAAGTATGAAGGCTATTGCTTAACGCATTGTAAGCCGCCCTGAGTCTCCAGAGAAGGGCAGCATATAAATCAATTTTTTTAAAAAAAAAATGCAATTTAAGGCAAGGCTTCCTCCCTCTAAACTAAATACCAGTCAATACCTTTTTTAAAAAAAGGGATTGTATCTAGGTCTGTGTTATATTACATATGCTTGTGTATTAATTCTCTAATATGGACCTGACTTTTGCTTTTCACAATAACATGGAATTGCAGTGCGTCTGTAAAGTATTTCCCTTGGTAATGCTAAAAGAAATATAATAATTTGCAATAAAAATGCAATAAAATGCAAAGAATGTGGGAAATAGGAGGCTTCATGTAAAGAGCAGTTACTAATATTGTTTCATAGTATTTAGAGTTCAATAGACAACTATTCATAATGATATTGCTTTAATCAAATGCTATTTGTAAGGATCATATCACAGAAATATTGGCCAAAAACATCAATATTCTTTTTTTCTTCCTGTAAACCATATTGATCGTTCATATGATTTAAATAGAAGATAAACATGTTAGTGAAGAAGGGGTAAACAAATAAATTAATGTGCTGGGCCAACTTCAAAGGCATTTATGAAAGAGAACACAAAGACAATACATTTTTCATATTCTTTTAAGTAACATCAAATAATCTGATAGTACAATTTATAATCCATGCTCAACTGTAGATAAAAAAATACCGTATTTTTCGGAGTATAAGATGCACCTTTCCCCCCCAAAAAAAGAGGGTGAAAATCTGGATGTATCTTATATTCCAAATGTAGCCCCACCCAGCTTCTCAAATGGAGGTTTCAGAGGCTGAAAAAAGCAGAGAAAAGCAGAGAAAAAGCTTCAGAAAAGAAGCCCACAAACAGAGCTTCAGAAAAAAAAAAGCCCCCAAACAAAGCTTCAGAGACTTTTTTTCTGAAGCTCTGTTTCGGAGACTTTCAGAGGCAGGAAAAAAGGTTTTTTTCTGAAACGGAGTTTCAGAAGTTTCAGAGGCAAAAAAAAAAAAAAAAAAAAGCAAGGCACAGGGCTCACAACCAACAAACCTGTTGCTAAAATTCACCTCTGGTTGGGGGTATTCCCGGAGGCCGATACACCCACCAATCAGCTTTTTTCTTATTTTCCCCCCAAAAAACTAAGGTACGTCTTATACTCCAAAAAATACGGTAACCATCTTTCAGAGTATTTATAATTTTACCACGGCATTTGCCAAAGATTGCAAATGGCTCTTTATAGCCATTGTAGGACCACACGTGGTTTGTGCATAGCCCATGATATCAAGAAATTACTGTAACATATATTCTTTATTAACATTTAAAATATAAAATTATTTTATTATATTTTAAAGATAAAACTAAAACACTAATAATCAACAAACTGAAAAGAAAAGAAGAAAGAGTAAAGAATGAAATAACAGATAGAAATGCAGCTAAATAAAAAATATTTAGAAAGAAGCAGAAAAACAAACGAAAGATTTCAAATTTCTTTTATGGCAGATATAAATAAAACTTACATTCAACTCTTGCTCTATGCTTACAACATAGCAGCCATTTAAAAAAAAAAATCTATGAATATAGATATCCACAAACCCATCTTGCATATTGACCTTCAAAATTTTATTTATAAATAAATGAAAAAATAGCTCCTAGAAGCTCCTAGAAGCATGAAGCCGAAAACACCAGCCTGAAGATGACGAATGAGACTTCATCGAAATGTCGCCAAGACACTTCCAATTTTACGTGGGAGAAAACCTGAATAACCAAAGACCTTCATACAAACACCCGCGAAAGCCTCAGAAAAACCTCTTTAGGTTTATGTTCTACCTACGTAAACCAAGATATTATGCAGCCCTAGTTCAGTGAAATCACAATTCACTAGTTTCTGGGCTTTTTTTTTTTTCTTTTTCTGGCAGCCAACAGACCCTTTGCTGCCCATTTGGAGACTACAATATTTGCACAAATATTGTACCTTTACAGGGAGGATACATGAGATGAGGGTGTGGCTAACTGATGGGGCTTTATAAGGCCAAAATAGATCTATCTTAGTCTCCCAATGGGCAGCAAAGGGTTTGCTGGCTGCCAGAAAAAGAAAAAAAAAGCCCAGAAACTAGTGAATTGTGATTTCACTGAACTAGGGCTGCATAATATCTTGGTTTACGTAGGTAGAACCTGCCTAAAGAGACATACACATAAAACCTACAAAAAAGAAAGAAAAGAAAGAAAGAAAGAAAGAAAGAAAGAAAGAAAGAAAGAAAGAAAGAAAAGAAAGAAAGAAAGAAAGAAAGAAAGAAAGAAAGGGAGGGAGGGAGACAGACAGACATATTAAGGCAAATTTTGTGCTAAACATAATATTAAAATACTAATTAATGCTAAACTGAAGAAAAACTTTTAAATAATAGTGCTCAAAACATTATCTAGCTGGTTCATTAGCTATTCTGATAAATTCTATTTCAATTGTGCAGTCTCCCCCACAAAAACATGTTTATTTTTAATGCAGTGTGTCTGATCCCTCTTCGTCCAGTCATAAGAAGGATGGCAAGTAACTTGAATAATATTGTCTCTCTGCATGAATTAAATAAAATGAGGCTTTTTCTGTTCTCAACTACTATTGATCAGTTATCAGCTTAGATACAGCATCATTATTTAAAACATGAATTATATGGTGTTTTTTCCCCCTGACCATTGCTATAGTCAAGGCTTACCAGGTTTTCTGTTGAGATATATTGAGGTATGTTTCTGCCCAAATGACAGAAGTTTAACAGCTGCAGCAATTTTATGGTGGACCACTAGAGTCTGCAGACTATAAAGAATGTTTTTCTCTTAGAAATGCAACATGAAATACAGAAAGGAAGTTAAGCTTTTTTTTAAAAAAAACCCAAACAATCTTTACCAAAGATTTAGACTGCATGTTTACAGGATCTTTCTCAAAAATCCAATTCCAAAATGTTCTTTTCTTTTGGATATTAGGCAAAGTAAAACAAAGTTGGCTGTTAGTAACCCCGCTTATGCCTTTGTGGCAAGAAACAAAACAGAGAAATAAATACACACACATAGAATTTGGGACTAGAAAACCAATTCATGATTGGCAGGCCAGTTTTTTCTGTAATAAGAGCATAAATACAATTAAAAAAATTATGAAGTTCAAACTCCACTTGACTATCCCTGCCCCCCCCTTAAAAATGTTCTAACAATGTAATATAAGAAACAATAATAGGGTGGGGTGATTAACATTTTCTTTTCACAAAAGTATTATGCATTTTTTTTTGTATTTCTTTCAGTTGTTAAATCAGCAGACTGCATAATCACATGACATCACCTTAAGCTTAATTTAGATTGCCCACAGTAATACGTAGGCATTGCTACATAGCTATGCTACAAAGATGTTGATTGATAAGCTTAGGTTGCAGATGGCTGCAGATGGGCTGACACCAGTGGTGGGTTGCCCCCGGTTTGGACTGGTTCTATAGAAATTGGCGGAGGCTCCGCCCACCAACCCCAACGTATCAGGAAGCTTCTGTGCATGTGGTCCCATTGCGAACCGGTAGTAAAGGTAAGTAGACCCTACCCCTGGCTGACACGCACACAAATTGCGTGTTGTATGGAAGTGTGCATCCTTCACGCTGATTGGTTGATCTGACTTCCACTTCTGTGCTTTGCTGTTTAAATGTCCCCTAGCCAGAATGTTACATTTGCAGGAATATAAGACCTATGCAACTGGCCCTGAATGGCAGATGCATATGTTCCCTGATACTCAGTGCCGGAGAAATCTGTTAGACTTTTATGTGCTCACTATATATGATTCTCTTAGAATTCTCAACACTATATGTACAGAAGCACAGGATAACTTAATAGCACTATTTTGTCTAAGTATTATTTTAACACAGATACAATGATGGCACAAATGATATTTTAATTCCTTTCTCACACATATATATACACAGTTAAAAAAAAACCACAAATAAAATCCATCCAGTTGTGCAACGCTGACTTGCATGCAATTTCATTGTATGAATGATATTCTTTCTGAGTCTTTCCATTCTCTCGCACAGTTCAGAGAACTGTGGATTATTCAATGAATGTCTGTATTTGTTTCCTCCACTCTTCTGATTATTTGGAGCCTTGTTGCAATACTGCTATCACAAGGGGTGAAGAGCACTGCTTGTTGTATTATTCTTCTTTTGTGACAAAATTGCTGGTAATTGTGGCCATAGTTGTCAGCCATTGCTGGTTTTTACCTATCAGAAATCATTGAGCACATAGTAGACAGGCTAGTCTTTTGATAGTTTGAAACTCTGTTCTTTGCTTTCTCTACCACACCAATCTTTTGTAGGATGAAGACTGAATAGATATCCACAGTTCAAATAATCTGTCTTTTCATATTTTTCTGACTCAAAAAAGGAAAGAAAACTAAGCTTCACCTCAGACATTTGTACTTCAAAAATCTTTAAGTGGTCTTCGTTAGCAATAATTTGAAGGAGATGGGCTATTGAAAAATGTGATAAAAATAAATTTTAAAAAAATAAATATCACATCATAATGGAAGCCAATCAAACATGATTTTCTCACTACAAGTTCAAGCATATTACTTCATATTTCAGGTATTCAAGAGTCATTTAGGAGAGATGGATAAAAAGATTAAGATATAGCACACCTTAAATGCAATATCTATGAGTAAATAAAAAGTTATTGTTTCTAAAATCATTTGGCATTATTTTTGGAACTCCAAGATCTATCTCAATATATGTTTTAGCAATAGCAGGTTTAAATATATACATATTAGACATTGGATAATATTGTTATATGTAATTTAAAATATATTTTAAAATATTATTTTATTTAAAATAAAAATATTTTGAAATGGAAGCACATTTATAAAAACTGTTTTTAGTTTAACAGAAAAAAATTCTGTTTATTATTAAAAAGAAATAATTAATTTCTTTTCAAGGAATGCTTACTTTATTTATATTCAAGCTTTATGTGGGTTATTTGTCCCATTCATGAAATGGTCTATAGATTAAAAAAAAAACATTTTAACCTTTTTTGTCCTTTCCTTTTTTAGGTGTGAAGGAGACTGGCACCTCAGTTTCCATATATCTTTAGATTATTTTTGTTGATTGCATAGAAATTTGGCTTGGATTTAGCATTTTAGGTGGTTACCTATCAAGATCATCCCAAGGCCTGGGATAGGCAGATATTTGATCATGTTAAAGGTATCATTACAGGATATAAACTGTTCCAAGTAAAGCTACCTTTTGCAATTGACTAGTATTTTTTCAATTCCAATAGTGTTCATATGTTATTATTATTAAATGTATAACTCAACTTTTTGACCTTGAAAGTGCTGAAATCTACTTTACATATTTTTTATATTTGTCTCAAAAAGGAATTATTGTTCAAGTGGTTCCTGGTGCCATGAGGCCTGGTTCATCATTTTCTTTTTGCAAATAATTTTATTAAGATGCTCTATAGCTCTCATAAGGGTCCCAATGGCATGATCCTTCCCAGCTTCTGCCAAACTAGTAGTTTTAAAGCATGCAAATGCGAGTAGATAAATAGGTACCACTTTTCTGGGAAGGTAACAGCATTCCACCAAAGCACCTCAGCATATAGTCATGCTGGTCACATGACCATAGAAATGTCTTCAGACAATACTGGTTCCCTCAGGTAAAAAATGGAGATGAGTACAGCCCCTAGAGTTGGACACTTGGAATATTGCATCCAGTTTTGGTCACCACATTACAAAAAAGATGTTGAGACTTTGGAAAAGGTGCAAAAAGATCAGCTAAGATGATTAAGGGCCTGAGACAAAAACATATGAAGAATGGTTGCAGGATATGGGTTTGGCTAGTCTAGTGAAGAGAAGGACTAGGGGGAACATGATAGCAGTATTCCAGTATTTGGAGGTTGCCACAAAGAGGAGAGAGTCAACTTATTTTCGAAAGCACCAGAGGGCAAGCAAGAAACAATGGATGGAAACTAATCAAGGAGAGAAGCAACCTGGAATTAAAGAAAAACTTTCTAACATTGAAAACAATTAACCAGTGGAACAGCTTGCCATCAAAAGTTGTGGGTGTTTCATCACTGGAAGTTTTAAAGAAGCGATTGGACAGAGTTGGAAGGGACCTTCGAGGGTTTTTGTCTGAAATGGTATAGAATGTCTTGTCTGAAATGACTTGTCTGAAACGGTATAGAATGTCATACTTGAACAGGGTGTTGGACAAAAACCCTCAAAGGTCCCTTCCAACTCTGTTCTGGTTGACCTTTTTATATCTTCCATAGAGTGATTCCTCCAGTTATCTTCCTTTCTCAAATTTCAGTTCCTCTGGAACTATGTAGTGGCTGCACAGATCTGGAGATCACTAGATGTCAGCCAAGAGACACTAAAATATGTTAAAGATTTGCTGCCATCCAGTGGTTAACAGATCAAAGAGCTGATCCATAATTTGCAAGCAATTATAATTTAAAAAATAGCTGAATTGAAGAGGATATTTAAAAAAAAAGAAGAAGAAAAAAGGCATGCTTAAAATAAACAGTGGTATGCATGCTAATTGAAAGCACTTTTTACATCTTTGATGGCTGTGGGCAGCACTGATCCATTAACGGAACATTCAGTTATTGTCCTTATGATGTTGGGTGTTAAGATTGTATGGGTAGCAGCAGCACAACAGACCTTTGTTCTGGGTATATAATGCCTAACCAGTAGCCAGAAGGTAATCATGCTGGTCTAAAACTTCATAGTATACTGGTTGGGAAGAAAGCACAGGAAAGTAGCTGTGTGGGTGTGACCAATGAACTAATGTATCATATAAAATTGGAACTAATACTTATCTGTTATTATTTCTAATAATATTGTCAATTGTTATGAAAACTATTGTCTTCTATATTCAACATGTAGTAGGTAGGGACATTATTTTTAAGCATGAAAAAAAATTGTTGGAAACAGTGGTTAGGGTTAGGATTAGGTTATGCTTAGTAAAGAATGCTTTGAGCTTTAATTGCCAAAACATCAAGACAGCTATGCAATTCAAGTTCATAACAAAATTTTAAGACCCAAATAAGATTTAACAAAATGTTCTTACTTCCTGTAAACTTTTAACCCATAAAGTGTAAATAATTAATTCATTCTTCATGGGGTTTAAATGTTCATCTGATGAGGCCCTTTTATTTAGTCCTTTGTTTTATAATAATTCCTGAACTATTATTGCAGGACTTAAAGAAGGAAAATAACTACCAATTTCAGTTTCCCTTGTATTATTCACTAAATTTATTGATCTTTATTCCCCTGAGGCATTTGGAGACTAAAAGCTGCTATTAGTTTCTTCAAAACCATAAGTAAAATTTAATTTCTTCAAACTGCTTCTGTGGCTCTATGAGGCAAACTGAAATGTCTGTGATAAAGCTCAAACTGCATTGGTACCATCAGGAAGATTCAGATGAGTATTTAGAAACATTCTACAAGCATGTCTATGTTTTATTTGAAATCTCAGTTTTTGTTGGTGGGAAAAACATCAAATGATACACAATACATATATCTAAATATCTGTATAATGTCTAATACAGATAATTTCTCTGGCACGAATTGATGTACTATCAATTAGGGAAACATCTGAAATATGAAAATCATATTTGGATATATAAATTTGATAAATAAAAATGCTGAGGGATGAAGGTGGCATCCTTATCCTATGTGCTATTAAAATGTCCATTCTATACAGGTAATCTTCAGTTTAGGATCACATTTGGGCCCAAACTTTCTGTTGCTAAGTAAAGCAGTTGTTAAGTGAGTTTTGCCTCATTTTACAACCTTTTTTGCCACAGTTGTTAAGTGAGCCGCTGCAGTTGTTAAATTAATAACATGGTTGTTAAATGAACCTGGCTTTCCCATTGACTTTGCTTGTCAGAAGGTTGCAAAAGATGAACACATGACCCCCAGGACACGGCAACTGTCATAAATAACATATGTCAATATCATATGAAAATCAATTAGCGTTTTCTTCATAAATTTGTCTTTAAATTTTTTTGGGGTGGCTTCATATAATGTATGTATTTATAATTATGGTATATGCTTTATATTTTTAATGTTCTTTGATTTGTTCAGTACAAAAATTTAGGCTTTTGAACTATGATGCTGGAAAAGATTCCTGTGAGTCCCTTGGACTGCAAGGTAATCAAACTGGTCAGTCCTAGAGGAGATCAACCCTGACTGCTCCTTAGAAGGCCAGATCCTGAAGATGAAACTCAAATACTTTGGCTACCTAATGAGAAGGACTCACTGGAGAAGAGCCTAATGCTGGGAAAGATTGAGGGGAAAAGAAGAATGTGACAACAGAGAATGAGGTGGCTGGATGGAGTCACTGAAGCAGTAGACATGAGCTTAAATGTACTCCAGAGGATGGTTGAGGACAGAAAGGCTTGGAGAAAGATTGTCCATTGGGTCATGATGGGTCGGACACAGGGCCGGATTTAGATTGAAAGAGGCCCTAGGCTATTCCACTTAATGAGGCCCTTTCACCAGTGGTGGGATTCAATTTTTTAACAACAGGTTCTGTGGGCGTGGCTTAGTTGGGGGTGTGGCTTGGCAATCATGTGACTGGGTGGGCGTGGCTAGCTGGTCACGTGACTGTGTAGGCGTGGGTAGCTCATCGTGTGACCGGGTGGGCGTGGCTATGTGCATAGACTTTTTTCAGAGGGCTGAAAAAAGTCATTTCTGACTGGGCCTCGCACTTTTGACCGGTCCTCACACTTATGACCATCCTCACATTTATGCCCGTGCAGCTTTCTTAACAACCATGTCACTCATTTCACAACTGCTTCTCTTCACCATGGTGACAAGATAGGGCAAAAACGTAAAATGTGAGGACAGTCGTAAGTTCGAGGACTGGTCAAAAGTGCGAGGACCAGTCAGAAATAACTTTTTCAGCTCTCTGAGTAGTCCATATGCACAAAAGGACTACCCAGAGGGCTGAAAAAAGTCATTTCTGACTGGGCCTTGCACTTTTGACCGGTCCTCACACTTATGACCATCCTCACATTTATGCCCGTGCAGCTTTCTTAACAACCATGTCACTCATTTCACAACTGCTTTTCTTCACCATGGTGACAAGATAGGGCAAAAACATAAAATGTGAGGACAGTCGTAAGTTCGAGGACTGGTCAAAAGTGCAAGGACCAGTCAGAAATAACTTTTTCAGCCCTCTGAGTAGTCCATATGCATAAAAAGATACAGCAATAGAGAGGGATGAAGGAAGGGAAGGGAAATTAGAGTAGGAGAGAGAGGGAGGAAGAGAGGAGGAGAAGGAGAAAGGAAGAGGAAGTAGGGAGAAGAAGAGGGGGAGGAAGAGAAAGTAAGAAGGAAAGAAAAGAGAGGTGGTAGGTTTGAGGAGAAAGATTGCTATACAATAAAAAAGATGAAAGGGAAGAAAGCCAACCCCAAACAAATATAAAGATATTAAGATAAAGAATGAATTGTTAAACTTTAAAGAA